TTNTCTCCTCTCTCTCTCTCTCTCTCGCCACCTCTTCTTCGAATCGCGCAGTTTACCGCTTCCCGAAGAAAATATGAGAGGCCGAGAATGGATCGTTAAGCCAGTTCTCCTCGAGCTGATGTAATTCTCGCCCCCTTTTCTCAAAATATTCGCTCGGAGGGGGAATTTATTTAAATGCGAGCAATCGAGGTTCGATCGTCGAAAAGGGGATTCGGAGTAATTTTCGGGCCAATTCTAAAATTTCGGTTCGTGTTAATTAAGCGTTGAGATAGAGCGGTAAAATGAGTCGAAGAATTCTAAATCTTGCAATTTTAAAATTAGCTGTTTTATTATTAAACGTATAGGAATACGTGAGATAGCGGGAGGATAAAGAAAATAGAAGTGAAAATTAATTTTGCCAACTCCTCGTTTGATTTTGAACGAAATTTCAAGCCGTGCAAATTGAGCTTTATAATAAGTAATAACGCGACAAATAATAGAGAACGAAAATTAAGAGCGATTTTGTAACAGCCCCACTGATGGACGAAGAATGAAGAAACTAATCGTTGCAACTTTAACCTTTATCGCGTGTGATTATTTAACAAGGTTTTCCATGGTGTTCTTTTCCATTCCAGTGTGTTTTGTCGGGCAACACACAGCTCGGAAAGATTTACGACGCCGGCCATTTTAGCTTTATCGTATCGTATTCGGTCGGATTGTAACAACGTTTAGGTCGAAGTGGAAACGTAGAGAGCAACAGCTTACTTCTCTCTCTCTCTCTTTTTTTCTTCCTTGATCGGTTGTTTAAAATTGTAGAAATCTCTGAAGTGGGTTAACGAGTTTTTAGAACTGTAAATTTTCTTCGGATACAGTTGGCTCGCTGCACTCCCTGCTTCTTCGTAAATTGTAGATTTATCGACACGCGGGCTTATAGGATATTTATTAGCAAGGATGTTGAATGGAAGATAAATGGTAGAGTAATCGGATGAAACCTGATTTCGTTATTGTCGATTTGAAAAATTTAAAAGTCAGGGTGGATACTTTTTCTCGACGTTGTGAAATTTTGCGTACAAATAATTCCTTTGGACAGATAGATATACCTTTCAACCTGATTTCAAACTGGCTGTAATTCCTTTTGATCAAACTTAACCTCTTGATTTTGTTCCCCCGAGATCATTTATTTATGGAAGAATCTTCCATATGGAAAAATAAAAGACAACATAAATTTCTTTACAGTTAACGATATCGCACAATGCAAAACTACAAAATGTAATTTTTCCGATGTTACAATTGTATCATTTTTACTTTTTTCACAGTTGTTTTTTTATATATATTTTATCGCCATCGTAATACAAGATATTGTGTTTTCGAGGGGAATATTGGACCCGTTTATTCCCGTGTACTCTCTCCAATTTGGAAGTTGGTTTTATTTATTTTTTAAAAAATTTCGAAAAATCGAAATATATATACACGCGTAGATTTCCATAGATTTTCACCGATCAAATGAGTTGAGATGCGGATAAAAATTCGCGCGTTTTTCAAATTTTTTAATATATTCCCGGAAGATCGTTTTTAATAAATAATAAACACGAGTGTTTAATTCTTTCCTCGCTTATTTCAACGAACACGATTCCATAACCTTCCTTAACCAACGATAACGATATTCTCGAACGATCGATAAGGAAGAAAGAGAGAGACGAAAAATCGAGAAGCGAAATCTTATTCTCAAAGATTCCAATAACGGAGGTATTAGACTACGTTTAACCCGTGTACCATCCTCAAAGACGATAAAATTCGCGTCAGCGATATTGGTATATAGTTTGCCGCTTCGCCGTCACGTTGTCGTCGCGGCGGCGTCGTTAGCCAGCCCCCGTAATCCGGTTTCGAGACGAAGATCATCTCCACTCGCCCCGTTGAAAACTTTTATCGTTGCCCCAAAGAATCTCGAGAAGCGGAAGCCGTTGGAATCGTTGCTCGAATATCCGCCACGCGGACGAGACTCGCCTCGAGACATGTCTCGCGGCTCCAACGATCGATTCTCCCCTCCTCGACGATTATAGAGCGTATTGTCTGCGTATAACACAAACTTCTTTTTCTATATTTTATATTTCCTCTCGCACAAACGAAGGATTGGAGATACAATGTTTCAAAAGATAGTTATTTTCTTTTTTTTTTTTTTTCTTTCTTCGTGATTCCACTAGCACGTTAATTTCTATCAACGAGATATACGAGATTTCATAATTTCATTCCATCCCACTTTCACCTCCTCCATTTCTGTTTTCATTGCGATTTGCATTTTTCGTCACGTGCCGCTTAACCGTGAAAAGCCGAGGTATATCGAGGATCGTGGCGTATCGATCGTGCGGTAGAATGTCGTGTGGATGGCCGACTTTCCGATCGAACGGGTCGAGAGTTCGTCGAATACGTGGACGACTAATGACCGTCTACGGCGGCGCCACTTTAACGGGGACGAGAAAAACGGCAGGGACGGGGATAAAGGATAAATGACGGGGGGGAATGTAAAATACTCGAGTTGAATATACCGGGTTGAATCGAATAATTCAATTTATAATATCTCGTCTCGTATCTAATATCTCGCGTATGACGAAAGAACGAGAAGGTGTAAATATAAGTTTCCGGAGAGTGAATTAAAATCGCATCAGCGCATCGGGGCCTACTCTGTCCCCTTCTCCTCGATTTATCTTATTTTCCACGTGAACGTTAAAGATATACGTTTTTTCTTTTTTTTAAATCAAAGAACGTGTCTCCAGTGATCTGGAGAGTCGACGTCAAGTTGCTGGGTTTCGTTTAAATCGACGATTTTAATTTTATAAACAGGATTATTTACAAAAAATTAAGTCTATTTCCACGTAACTGCAATAATTGTTGGTTGAAAGAGAGAGTTGTAAAAGAGCGAAGAGGGCGAGATATTTTCGCGAATTTTCGTTTCGATAACTGACAATAACTCAACGTTTTACAAACGTCGCGAAGCGACGGCGCCACTCGTTCCTTCCCTCGTCGTCGATCAGCTGGTCGAAAATGTGGAGAAGTGGCTGGACCTCGTCCAACCGGTTACGCTTCTCTCTCTCTCTCTCTCGCCATTCCACTTACTAACCCTGTTATAAAGCCTTTTTTTTTTGCTTTTAACCTGTGCATCCTGTGTTTTTCATATGCTATTTCGATGTTTCTCGAATTTAACAAAATGTTGAACGAATTATTGAACTTACTCGAGCTACTTCACTTCAATGGATGGATTTGTTTAAACGCGTGGAAAGTCTGATGATGATGATTATTTTCTTGAAACGACACTCGAACGACACTTATTTCGATAATTTAATTAACCGATAAATAGATGATCGATAACAATAACACCCACTTGCCCTACACGAATGAAATATCCTCATCTACTTGTTCTCTGGCATCTCACCGAAACAAAGATTGTCTCTGTTACGAGGCCTCCAATTACCCACTTTCCCCGCGAATCGACTCTCCCCTACCATCCATCTCGAAACAGAAACTCAATCTCGATCGAGCCGGATTGATTGAATTCGATTCCCGAAAAAAGAGAGGGAGAGAAACGCTCCCGTAGTGTCATAACGCCGATCCCTGGAGAGAGACGTCGCGTGGGACAATTAGGGGAAGAGGAGGGCGACCGGCTCGAGGACGTATCCCTCCCTGGTTGGACGGAGCGTGTAACTGGTCGGAAAGTTCGCTGGTCTTCTCGGCAAATATTCGAAGATTCGATGTCTCTCTCTCTCTCTCTCTCTCTCTCTCTATCTCTCGAAGAGATAGGAGAGGCGTATTGACGGAGGGGGCCGGAAGTGGAGGACCATCGGTGCATCGCGGGCGAGAGAGGACGAGATCTCGTCTAGGAGGAGGAGGAGGAGGTGGAACTTTTCCCCGAGTAAACGCAATTAAGCGATGGAGCAGCGGCGGCGGCAGCGCAATTTGCCCGGAACAGCAAGCGGAGAAACTCTCCTTATGCACAAGTGGAATAATCTCGAGAGGATAAAATCGAGGGCTTCGAGGCACGAGATCGATTAGCGGCGGACCACTTGGTCCGTTATTTTCGCGAAACAAGTGGACGCGCGTAAAATGTTCGAACGGAAGAAATGAAACGCGTACGATGTGACTTTCGTATCTTTTTCTGGAAACGTAGCATCGATATTTCCTTTTTTTTTTTTCCCCAATAAACAAAGCAACGAGCTTTCTCGTTTTGCACATTTTTGCTGCGAAAGGGGGTTAAATCGTATAACGAAAGAACGAGAGAGAAGTTTCGAAAGGAAGATGAAAACGAAGCGGTATTCCAACGATAAACTATTGCTGCTGCTGCTGCTGCTACGAGCCGAGAAATCGCCGCGCACGAAATGCAAAATTGCTTCGAGGCCGCGTGACGTTAGAGTTCGTTTAAAACGTGGTGTCAACGGTATGGAGTGGCGATTGGCGACACTGGGATCGAAGCAAAGAGGAAGAAGAAAGGAAGGAAGGAAGGAGGAAGGACAGACGAGGCAAGGTCGAAAGGAATCTTTCGTTCGGGTCGTGTGGAAGGAAAGCGGAAGAGGGTGGGTGGCCGAAAGGAAGGTGGTTGCGCGCCACCGGTGTGTGTCCGATGTTATCTGTGGTTGCCATGGGGATGCTATTGATTGGCCGACGCGCCGACAGACGTCACGGGAGTCGCGGCGCCACTCCGACTATTGCCCGTCCCCGCGCCCCTCCGACTGCACGCCAACGTCCACTCCTCCCCTCCTTCACGTATCTATCCCTCGTGCGTTTACCAGTCCACTCTCGCACGCCACGCCAATCCCTGTTCGACCGATGGCCGCGCAAACGCGCCCAAACACACTCGACACGCGTCCATCTAACCGAGTCGCGGCTTCCGAACTTTCATCCCTCCCGTTTAACGCGATCGCTCCTCGAGGAACCAGCTAATCGCCGCGATTGTTTGCACGCGAATGGTAGACGTGTCCCTCCCCCTTCCAAGCGCAGGAGGAAGGTATCGGCTGAGCGACGATTATCCACGCACGATACCAACGTTCGAGAGACGTTTAAACGACCCTCACGTGTCGTTTCCTCTTACGCCTCCCCGGCAAATAATTCGCGGGTTAGCACGAGGGGGTAGGTTGGGGGCTCGTGTTAGGGTTGACCGGGAAAGAACGATCTCCTCCACGATGTAGGTGGAGGGTTAACCACGATCAGGGACCACCAGCCGCCCTGGCGCCTAACGAGTCGTATAAAACACGAGAAACACCTTTCCTTCTCCTCGAAAGGAAGGCGAGAAAAGGGAGACCGCCCTCTGCGGGCCGATTCGAACTGGGGCCGCCTCCGCTCGGCTGGGACTCGATTAGGATCCCTCCCGCCTTGCTCGATAAGGCCTCGTTTCGGGCAGGGATTTAGCGATCGGACGCTGAAACTTTGCCGAGATCCTAGTACGTATGTGTGTTGGTATATATGGGGGGGATGGGTTGGAAGTGGAACGTGACGTTTGGCGATTTGGAGAATATGGAGGGAAGGTGGGTTAATCGAGCGCTCTCGCGAAGTTAGAGGAGCTTGGAAATTTTCTAGATATCCATCTTTTTGTTATTACATCTTGTACCGCGTAGAATTTCGAGTATCTTTTCCCGTCTAATGAAACGAATCAGGATTACAACGAATTCGTCGTATTAATTTTTTTTTTTTTTTATATTTTTTTTTACAAGCAGTGGAAGTTTTAATAAAATGATCGTATTGTTGATCGTATGCGATGCATCAACGTTTAAATTAGCCATTCTGCGTTCATCGCTGCGGTTATTAATTTATTACAGGAATTTCAAGTTCCTTCACACGAAACTCGATTATCGTATCGTTATAAATTTTTGCAATAATCGTCATACAGGTGGCGAGTCAGCTTTTGGCTCGTCTCGTTTCGAATCTATTCTTTTCTCATTTTTGTCGGGTTTTATATATAAGGCAAGGCGAAAAGTCGAGGATATTTTTATTAAAACGGTTCGGTCGTTCACGAATATATATATATATATATATCCCCTCGATTTTCTTCTCTATTTGGATCAAAGAGTTTGCGATACTTCTCCTACGCAAGGACAAACAACCGGCTTTGGTTAATTGAAAAACCGTTCTTCCCGACCTTTTCCCGCTGCGCCCACGCCGAGTTCGAACGCGGCAAAAACCGCGGATGAATATGGACTCGAATATGAAACTGTCACATTTATCTTTCCGCAACCATTGCATTTTCCGCTCTTTAAACAATTTTTCATCCGAGGGACAGTTTTTACGTCCTATTAATGGAGGAGCAATTTTCCTTTTTTTTTTTCTCCTCCCCCTCCCCCCTCCCGTCTCTTCCATAATTATTTTTTTCGATCGCTTGGCTTTGGCAAATTCCAAATCGATACAATCGATATTATCGAAATTTTTAATCGAGGGAATAGAAAATTAAAAAGTTTTTCCGAGATTTCGACGTTGTTCGAAAGGGGGAAAAAAGGAGGAGAAAAGTTTTTTCCTTTTTAGAGACATTCAAAAGAAAAAGAAAGGAGAATTTTTTCTAAAATTTTACCTCGCTCGAAATCGATTCCAGCCACACGAAAAGGGACAAAACTAGTTTTCTAGGTATCGCTTTATACGGTCCAATAAGAGAGGAGCCTCGATTCCTCCGCTATCGCAATAACAGTTCTCCTCCAAATGTTGCATACGTACATATATATATATATACACGTATACACACACCCAAGTTATACATTCCCCGCATCGATGTCTCGGAATTAAGATTCACCAGACAGGGAATAGAATTTCATTATTCCACGTGCAATTAAATTGCACTCACGGTCGTCTTCCTTTGATATAATCCAGCGAGCGCAACGTTTGTCGCAATATACACGGGCTGCTTCTCCCCCCGAGTTCATGTTCTATTAAATACAAGTGTGTCAATAGGTGTTGAATTACAATCCCGGTGTCGTAAACCCGGATGCAGTTACAAAGGCAACATAGAACAAATCCTTTATATTATGTAAGCGGACCGCAGAAATATATCCGATTCTTGTGAAATATATTATAACCAGAGATTGGCCCTCGTCTCTAAAAATGTGGTGGCCTTCTACGGGAGGGGACTCGTGACAACTCTTTCGTACGTGGATCGTTTGCGTTTTTAATCGAGACTCTCGTTACGCTTCTCAAAACAACCGAACGAGTATTCGATTTAAGGAGGATCCTTAATGTATTTTCTTCGCGAGTGAAAATGGAAATGAAGAGAGAAAATGCTCGAAACATATCGCGAGAGATTCGTTAAAAAATTGATCAGCGACGATTCGATAAAGAAAAAAAGAAAAAATGTTGAAAACGCAAGAAATAATAACGCACAATACAGACGGCACATCGATATCTTTGTTCCAGCTTCGTTAAATTCGTTTCAATAATATTTCATTGTACGTTCACGTTCGTTTACAAGCCTATTCATAATTCACCGCACTGACGCGTTTCGACAATCGCGCAAAAGATTCGTTTATTTATTCCCATAC